ATTCCTTGTAGAAAAGAACTGTAGACAACTCTATGCATTTGCATGCTCATGAATATGAAAGAAAGGGAAGTGAATTTTAATAACATGAATAATTCCTCTTCCAACATTTCATGCATGTTGAGTCTGGGTGATTGCCAAAATAATTGAGACACATTGAGTTACTTGATGTTTAATGTTTCTTTTGCAATCTAATTTCTTGTTTTAAAATGTTAGTCAGAAAAAAAGAAGTCACTAAGTAGTAAAGGAAGTGGAAAGCCTATTAACTCAGAAGGAATGTTGGGAAAACTCACTGTGCCAGGGAAAATAGAATATATCATCTGTATCTGTTGTTTTAAAGCAATTTCGAAGGATGTGGGGCAGATATTTGAAACTTGTAATGTCACCTATTGCTAGGACCTTATCAGGTTTAGAATTCTGGAGCTGGTCTGGACAATGACTGTGAAGAACTTTTAACTGAGGTAATCTTGACTGCCAAGCATGGGTTACGATCGTACCCTAGAGCAGCATGAATCTTTCCGTTGGCATTAAATGCGTTAGCTTGAATGGCCACTGGGCTTAGCAAAGAACTGAATACAAGCTGTATCACCTCCCTTAAAACGTATCTTTTATCGCTTATCTTCTTTTTTTTATTTCTACTTTATTTTTAGTCTCATGAGATCTGATTTTATTACTTATCTTACCTTGTGAAAAAAAAAATTCCAGGAAATAAATTTTCAGTAAAACTGAGCTAGCTCTCTTGGCAGCCTCACTGGCTTTCCTACCCATATCATGCAACTGTGCATGAGACTGCTGCCAAGAAAAGGGGAGGGAAAAAAAAAAAAAAAGAAACAGAGGAAATTACAAACTACAAAAGCTGAAAAGCATTGTTACCCGCTTTTAGAAATGGTTATTTCTGGGCGCAATGGCTACAGTGAGCAATGGTCAACACTGCACTCTGGCCTGGGTGCCAGAGTGAGACCCCTATCTCAAAAAAATAAAAAAATAATAAAAAGAAATGGCTATTTCTGTTACATTTCATTATTTCCCCCCAGCAACTTGTTGGTTACTAAATGAGCGTGACTTCTAAATAAAACCAGAGTGTTTATTCAATCCCATCTGGAAACGCTGAGAAGGAACTGCCGAGGCTGGTGAAATCAGGGCTTTACCAGGACAAAGAAGTCGTCATCTCTCAGTGACTCATGTAAGATGCATTTTAAAATTGTTGCATGTGAGACACTTCCAATGATTGCCCTGACAAGGCACCCCAAAATTTGGCATGGTTCTTTCAGAAAGGACAAGGTCAGTTTGCAGATGAGCTCATTTCTTCATCAGCAATATCAGCTGGTACACTCTGAGAACCTCCTTCTTAAGATGCAGAAAACTTACGTAAGTGGAAATGTTCTAGGATAGGGTTGTGGAGGGTGTGTGTGCGCGCGCGCGCGTGTGTGTGTGTGTGTGTGTGTGTGTGTGTGTTGGAGTTTTTTTTTTTTTTTCCAGATAGGGTCTTGCCCTGTCACCCAGGCTGGAGTGCATTGGTGGAATCACAGCTCACTGCAGCCTTGACTTTCTGGGCTCAGATGATCCTCCCACCTCAGCCTCCTCCTGAGTAGTTGGGACTACAGGTGTGGGCCACCAGGCCCAGCTAACTTTATATTGTATTTTTTGTAGTGATGGGATTTCACCATGTATTTCAGGCTGGTCTCAAACTCCTGGGCTCAAGCAATCTGCTGGCCTCAGCCTCCCAAAGTGCTGGGATTATAGGCGTGAGGTACTGCACCTGGCCTAGGATAAGGTTTTAACATGCCCCCATTTGGTGGGTTTCATGCAAGGTGGGTTTTCTTTCTCTTTCTTTCTTTTTTTTTGAGATGGAGTCTTGCTCTGTCACCAGGCTGGAGTGCAGTGGTGAGATCTCAGCTCACTGCAACCTCCACCTCCTGGGTTCAAGCAGTTCTCCTCCCTCACCCTCCCGAGTAGCTGGGATTACAGGTGCCTGCCACCACGTCCAGCTAATTTTTGTATTTTTAGTAGAGACAGGGTTTCACCTTCTTAGCCAGGCTTGTCTCAAACTCCAGACCTTGTGATCCACCTGCCTCGGGTTCCCAAAGTGCTGGGATTACAGGCGTGAGCCACCATGCCTGGCCCAAGATGGGTTTTCAAAGGATTTGTCTCATTAAAGATGAAACTCTACCTTCTTGCAAGTCTTTTTTCAAATGCAACTTTTCAAGAAGCCTACCCTGACCATGTTATTTAAAATTGTGACTCATCCTCCCACTCCCATCTCTTAATCCTGCTTGATATTTATTATTTTTTAATGTATAAATCTTTTTTTCTTTTTAAACAGAGTCTTGCTCTGTCACCAGGCACCAGGCTGGAGTGCAGTGGCACAATCTCGGCTCACTGCAACCTCCGCCTCCTGGGTTCAAGCAATTCTCCTGCCTCAGCCTCCCGAGTAGCTGGGACTACAGGCGTGCACCACCATGCCCAGCTAATTTTTGCATTTTAGTAGAGACGGGGTTTCACCATGTTGGCCAAGATGGTCTCGATCTCTTGACCTCATGATCCACCCGCCTCGGACTTCCGAAGCTGGGATTACAGGCATGAGCCACCGCGCCTGGCCCTAATGTACAAATCTTAAGCATACAGGTCAATGAATTCTTGCATATGCACCTACTCATACAATTACCATTCAGATTAAAAAATAGAAAGTTTACAGCACTCCAAAAAACAGCTTCTTCAGAGGCCTTCTCCCAGTCCAGTCTGTTGTATTTTTTTCAAAGCACTGTCACCTTTTAAGGTACTTGATTGGCTCATTGGTATACCCAAGCAACTAGAAAAGTGCCTGACACATAGTAGGTACTCAATAAATACTTGTTGAATGAAATAATATTATTTTATTTTGAGACAGAGTCTCACTCTGTTGCCCAGGCTGGAGTGCAGTGGCACAATCTCAGCTTACTGCTTGCCACCTCAGTCTACCAGGTTGAATCACTTCTCCTGCCTCAGCCACCTTAGTACCTGGGACCACAGGTGCCCATCACCAAACTTGGTTAATTTTTGTATTTTTAGTATAGGCAGTGGCTCATGCCTGTAATCCCGCTTTGGGAGGCTGAGGTAGGTGGACCGCTTGAGCTGGGGAGTTTGAGATCAGCCTGGGCAACATAGTGAAACCCTGTCTCTATAAATAAATAAATGCAGACATCAGAGTGGTATTGTGGATTGGATGCAGGTATGGATCTAAGTACAGGTATGGATTGGATGCATTCTTGTGTGGTCTCTTCTATGTAATATTTTCTTGGACAGGTTGAGCACTTGGTAGTGGCTCTGCAAGAAGGGGATACCCCCTTTTATCTGGAACCCTCTTTTGATTCCTAGGTTTGCTAGCATTTATCAGGATAGGGGCAGAGTCTTCCTAAATAGCTTCCCTCCTTTGGACTCTGCTATTCCTCACATGCCATAACCCAGTCTTGAGAACCTGGTCACCGTCCATCACTCCCCTCTCCCAGTCAGTTGCATGTTGTGGCCGCTTTGTGCCCTGGCTATCTCTCTTCTGTGGTGTCCCTTTTTACTTCCTCTGGCAACCCCTCCAGGCCCACTGTTCATCGCTGTCCTGGCCTCCCAGGTGATACTCTCATCTTCAGTCTTATCCTTTAGGGACTGTCTCCCTATTATTTTCCCTAAAACATGACCTTGATCACGTTCATGCTCTGATCCTAAATCTTCAATGCTTTGCAGGTGCTACCAAAAACAAGTCTAAATGTCTTAGCCTTCCGGGCCGCATTTCCTTCCCAGCCTTGGGGCTTACCACTGCACTGCCAGCAGAGTGGTACCCAGCGTCACCAACAGGCTCCATGTTCTCCTGCGTCCCTACCTTTGTTCTGTCGTTAGCTTCAGAAAATGAGTGCTGGAAGAGACCATCAGGTCCAATCTCATTTTACAAATGAGGAAACTGAGGCACGGACAGATTTGAGTGACTGACCAGCACCCAGTCAGAGATCAAGTTTGACTCATGAAAAGGAAGCCCAGAGCAGACTTGGGGTTGGTATCAGACAAGATCCAGCCAGTTGGCCACCCGTTGAACCCTCTGATCCCTAAAGTTGTGAATTTTTGAGTCCCATCAGGCATGGCCTCCTGTCGGAAGCCTCTGTGATGACCCAGTTGGGAGTCTGGCCGTGAGCCTCTGGGTGACTGGGAATCTGTCTAGGAGTCCTGGCTCCCCTAGCATTTTAAGCAAACTCTAATCTTTGCCTTTCCTCTATTCTTATCCCAAAGACTCGGTCCCTAGTAGAGGAGCGGTAAAAGTCTACCCAAAGAGGGTAATGTCTGTACTGCCGGGGAGGCGCGATTCACCCGCTCAGACAGCAGCCAGCAACTAGGCGCTGAGTCCAAAATTTCCACCTACACCGCGTAGTTCACGTGCGGCACCTTAACTCCTTTTGACGCCAAACCCAAAAAACTTGAGAGCGTTTGGACTCGGCAGAAAGCCTGCTGGCAGCAATTACAGGACACGTTTCTCGAAGTCTTGAGCCGCAGTCTCTTTCTTCACCCTCCGCGCGGCGAACCTTGACGCGCATTCGGTGACCGGTCACCAAACGTGACTTGGCATCGAGGACACAGCTCCCCTTACCGAGGGAGCTCAGGTCCCGGGCGCGCCGCGGCCTCGCCAGCTTTCTGGGCTGGCGCAGTCCTCGTCCCGGGGCGACGGCCAAGTCAGCAAGGGCGGCGGGAAAGTGACGCTGGGCTGGAGAGGCGGTGTGGCGAGTGCTGCCCCGGGGGAGCCGAGAGCAGCCGCAGCAGCCGGGTCTCAGGCTGGGTGAGGCAAGGGGGGGTCGCAGACTGGGCTTGGAAGACTGCCAGGGGTGCCCACCTGACTCCAGGACGCACGGAGGGCGTGGGACAGGGCCTGGATCTGGGCCCGCCCCGGGGCTTGCCGTCCAGCCCCTCTCCGCCCTGGGGAGGGAAGAAGGGAGGGGAGAAGGCCAGGCCCGCCCCCAGCCTCAGCCCCGCCAAGGCTCTGCGGCCGCGGCTGCTGGAGGGAGACGAGAGCACCTCCCGGAGCGGAGAAACCAGTTTGGCCGGTCCCGCGGTGCGGAGGGAGAAGGGCGGCTGCAGAGGAAGGGTGCACGGACGCGGGGCGGGGGAAGGCGGAGGAGCCACTGGCGAGCCGCGAGAGCAGGAGGTGCCGCGGCCAACTGGACACGCTTCCCGGGGCCCCCGGCCAGCCCCCGTGCGCCATGCAGCGCTAGCGCAGCGGCCGGGGCTGGGGCTGGGCGGGTGGTGGCAGCGGCCAGGTGCGCAGCGAGCGTTTGGAGCGGCGCGCATCCAGCGGATGCCCCAGCCGGGGCCCAGCAAGCGCCAGGTAAGCAGAGGCGCGGCATCGGGGGCTCCGGACCTCCCCAAGCCGGCTGGCCAGGCAGGGTCCTGCAGGTCCCCTGGCCGCTCCCGCCGCTCTTTGGAGATCCAAGATGCGGTGGCAGGAGCTGTCCGCGCCCTCCGGCTCCCGAGCCCGCACAGGTGGCATTGGGGGGAGGTGCTAGAAGCCCCTCGTGGCCTCGGGGTCGGTGACGCAAGGCCAGCTGGGCAGGCAGCGCTGCGGAGAGGTCCGTGGAGTTTTCACCTGCCTGGAGGAGGAAACTTCGGGGAGTGTTTGGGTTCTTCGATCGGTAGCTACACACTGTCCGGGTGATAAGCCAGGCAGGGCTTGCGGCTCCTTGGGGGATGCCGCTGGCTTCTGTGCGGTGGCCACCACCCCTCTGGGAGTCCCCAGTGACCGGGTTCTGCTGGGGCGCTCTTTGGGAGCAGATGCCAAGGTGTCCGAACAGGACTTGGGGACCAAATGTATCTGACCGCGGCCCACCTGCCGGGAGGGATGGAGGGGTGTGATGGATCTCCTCCCCAGCTCCTGCTGCACGGCTGGGTACGCCCCAGACGTCTTCCGAGCGCTTTATTGTGGGATGGGAGGGGAGGTGATGGGGAAGAGAGACACTGTTTTTCCGGAGACTCAGCGTCCGCCAGCCCCGCTGAGCTGGCTGCAGGCATCCCCTTCCCTCGCCAGTTTGATGCCCGGCGCTGTCACCTCGCTGTGCGCACGCGGAGGGACAACTTGTTAGGGGGCTCGGGGAGATGTTTCAGGGCATGGCCCAGTGCTTTAACACCCCCCACCCCCACTTCTCCTACTTCCTCCTTCTCCCCAAAGTAGAAGAAAAGTCCTGAAGTGTCCGCCCAATTTTTACGAGGGAGGCGTGTGCCTGCAGTCCCTGCCGCGGGGTGGAGTGGAGGGAGGCTCGGAGCGCAGATCGGTGGCAGCTGTATGGGAGAGACTGGGGTGCAGTAACAATGCAAAACGGGGAGGGGGGTTGACACGCAAAAGAGGGACTTGGGCCGCGTTTCTGCCCAGTGAGTCCCGGCTCAACCTTACCCGACCCGCTTGGCCTGCACGCGCGGCCCGTGAGTGGCTGCAAGCCTTTCCTGGGTAGCTCTGGACGCCACCGAGTTCCTCTCCGGGAAACTGGCCTGCCTATTGGCGGGAGAAAAGATTAGCTCCCATCTTCCTGGTTGCATTGCCTTCAAAATTCTACCCGTACCCATGGGAAATTAAACAAGAAAACACTAGTAGGGTGTTTGGCGAACACCCGGCACACAGTAGGTTATCGAGGAAGGTTAACTGCTTTCAGGAACAAGAGCTAAGAAAACGACGCGTGATAAAGCCTCCAGGGATAGTGAATACGAGCCCATATAAATGGGGGACACAGCAGCAGATGTGAAGTACAAGTCTAATTTTCATCGGCTAAGAAATACTTTTGTGTTAGGCCTAAGATGCCATTCATTAATTCTGGGTCTATTGTTGAAGGCTTTATTAAATCCTATTATGAATGGATAGACTGTGCACAAGATGATTAATGCTTATTAGTTGATTACTTTCTGGGGAGAAGTCAGCCTGTGTGCAATTAACTCCTCTGAATTCTCTTAATGATTTTCATTATGTAGTGGAGCTTCCCTTTCTATAATTTTGGGAAAGAGTATTAACCACTTTGTTCATTTGGCATTTTCCAGTGGCTGTATTTTAGTAACTTTTAGTGATTCTTTGGCTGGATTATTAAGGGCCGAACAAGACTCTGTGGTTAATACTGCCCAACACAGATGCCACTTGTGTGAGCTCAGCTCTGGCTCCTTTCAAGGTTTTTTCTGGGTTTTACGGAACATACACACCTGTGTGCACTTGTTATTACATCTTAGTGATAGAGCTGGGAGAGCTTTTGTTTTGTTTGTTTAATAGAGGTTTTAAAATAATGATTTGGTAAAGCAAATGGCTTAGCAAAAAGGAGACTTCAATAGTAAGGCGAGTTCAGAATTGATTCCGTGTTTAATCTGGTTTTCAGTCTAGGGGATCTTAGCTCTAATGGAATCACTACCAGATCTGGCTGTAGAATGTTTCTTTCCTTTCCTTCTGTCCATTCCTCTTTCTTCTTTCTTTCCCTTCATTTTGAAGCAAGGAGTAGTGGAAAACATATGGATTTAGATGCCCACAGATTTCAGTTCTTTTACTTGCTAATTGTATAAGCTTAAATGAATTCTTAAATTTTCTGAACCTCCGTTTGCTCTTCTGTTGAGGGGGGAAGATATTATCAATCTCTTTGGATTGTTGAAAGAATTAAACTAGAGAACATATGAATGTTCTTTATACGTAGTCGGTGTTTGAATGTTGGTTTCTTTCTTTATTAGACTGATATCTAAAAATACTATTATTGCAGGTATCTGCTGTATTTTTAACATTTTATTGCCTTACTAATTAGCAACAGTCACAGAATGCAGGTAATTCTTGTAACTCCAGAGAGATTTTTACCAGTTACCTTTGCTCTTGAATGTCACTCACTGAAAAAGAAGCCGATGCACTCATGAATGCAGGGGAACTTGCTTTTTAGGTACCAGAACATGTTGGTTTTTTAAATTTATAAATAAAATAAATAGAAATAGGGCCTTGCCATGTTGCCTATGCTGATCTTAAACTCCTTGCCTCAAGCAGTCCTCCTGCCTTGGTCTCCCAAAGTGCTGGGATTACAGGTGTGAGCCACAGCACCCAGACAATTACTTGTTTTTTAAGCAAATGAGGCCAGGCGCAATGGCTCATGCCTATAATCCCAGCACTTTGGGAGTCCAAGGAAGGTGGATTTCTTGAGGCCAGAAGTTTGAGACCAGCCTGGCGAACATGGTGAAACCCTGTTTCTACTAAAAATACAAAAATTAGCTGGGCATGATGTACATGCCTGTGATCCCAGCTGCTCAGGAGACTGAGACATGAGAATAGCTTGAACTAGTGATGTGGAGGTTGCACTGAGATCATGCCACTGTACTCTAGCCTGGGCCACAGAGCAAGGCTCTGTCTCAAAAGAAAAAAAAAAAAAGAGAAAATGAGAAACAAGGCTAATATATATATATATATATATATATATATACACACGCACACACACACGTATGTATACATGCACGTATCTATATACATACATGTGCATACATATGCTTTCTAGAATCTTCCTCCACAATGCCAGGTCTTCAGTGACAGAGGACCTCAAAAAGATCTTAGATTATGTATAACTTTTAGCTGGGTACAGGGATGGGGATTCAAGAGTAAGTTGGTTAACAAAATGAAAAAGATAACCTATCTTCTTTTTATGTTATTAACACTCTTCTGGCAGCAAATTAATTTTTACTTAATAAGTAACAAAAAGCCTACAGGCATGAATACAATTAATCTAATTGAATGTCAACAGACCTGAAAACTTAGACACCACAAAGAAAAACTTTCCAGGAGACTAGACTAGAAACAATCATAGAAACAAATTATCAAAATAAGTCCTTAAGCAACTTAAAAGGTATCTCTTTTTAGAGAGATTGAGACATAAATTGTTCTGGGGCCAGGCACAGTAGCTCACTAAACCTGTCTCTACTAAAAATACAAAAATTAGCTGGGTGTGGTGGCACATGCCTGTAATCCCAGCTACTCAAGAGGCTGAGGCAGGAGAATTGCTTGAACTTGGGAGGCAGAGGTTGCAGTGAGCCGAGATCGTGCCATTGCATTCCAGCCTGGGTGACAGAGTAAGACTCTGTCTCAAAAACAACAACAACAACAAAAAATACCTTTTTGTCATCTGCATCTTTAAGATCATATTAATACCTTCCTTGATACTTATAAATGCATTGCATCTTTAAATAGTCACCCAACCTTTCTACAATGGGAAATATGTTTCATAACTGGTCCCTGCAAGCAGTCCAGAGGCAGCAGTGAAATAGAGGTTGCCAGCCTTGGAGTCCTTTGACCTGGGTTGGAATGCAGGCCTCACAGCTTCCTAGGTGCATAACCTAGGGCAAGTTATTTTGCCTCTTTAGGCTTCAGTTTCCTCATCTGTAAATGGGATAATAACAGTACTTCCTGACAAGGCTGTGTGATGAGTTCCAAACGAGATAGTTTAGGTAGACGGCTTAGCACACAGCTCAGTAAAAGACAGTCATTAAAATGTTGTTGCTATGGCTTTGTAAATGTCACTTACCCAGACATTGCATTTCTCCTGGGCTGTGAAGGAAACAGGAATCATTCCTCAAGTTAGTATTTATTTAGCAAACATCAGTGCCCATTTGCACCAGGCACTGGAAAGGCAGAGTTCCCTAGAGCTGGGTGAGGTTCTGAATCTCCGATCTACACTTTTTCTAAAGCCTGGTGGCTCAGAGGACCAGAGTGCTTGTTTGCCTCTTAACCTTGCAGGGGACTTGTGAGGGGCCTGGTTGTTGTCTCACCTGGGTACTACCCCCTCCTACGCGGCAGAAGCCCATGGAACGATCCTGAGCCCCTTTACCCCTCATTTCAGTTGGTCTCTTCTCTCCTTTATCCTCCATGCTCCTGTTTTTCTATTTTTAATTTTTGTTTATTTATTTTAGACAAGGTCTTGCTCTGTTGCCCAGGCTGGAGAGCAGACAGGCACGACCATGGCTCACTGCAGCCTTGACCTCTTGGGCTCAGGTGATTCTCCCACTTCAGGCTCTCAAGTCGCTGGGACTATAAGTGCATGCCACAGTGCCCAGCTAATTTTTTTTTTTTTTCATTTTTTTTTTTTTTTTAGAGACAGGGTCTCACCATGTTGCCCTGGCTTCTCTTGAACTCTTAGGCTTAAGCAGTTTTTCCACCTGGGCCTCCCAATATGCTGGGATTACAGGTGTGAAGCACCATGCCTGACCCACATGCCTGTTTTGTTTTAATTACTATTCTGTTTAAAACTCAACAGTTTCTGAACTCTGTGTCTTCTTGAAAGGCTCATTGCTCTGTGTGGTTTTCTTAGTGTGGATCCTGAGTAGGCATTGCTAATGACA